TTTGTCTTGGACCCTTTTCTGCATGTCATTCCACCGGACTGTCGCCCTCTCGTGGACTAGGAACGTATCCTCAAACGTCGATAAGAAATCATCGAACGTTTCCATCTGTTCTGCGTTGATCTGATACCAATGTCTGGCTCCTTCAATCAAATTCATCGTTGCTGTCTCCAGCGCAATGTCGTCCGACCAGTGTTGTCGTGTCTTCATGCCTTTCAGTGTTCTCAACCATTCACGTGCTTCCCGAGGTCCTCCGGTACCGTTGTACGTTGCGATACGTTTTGACAGATCTGGCATGACGTTCTAACTCGTGCCTCGTGTAGACGTTCCAAGGCCTCTTATCAGATCTGCCATCATTTCATCTCGTCTACGGTTATCATTGCAATGATATTCTCCTGCAAATGTTCTCCTGACGCAGCCGTAGAGTTTGCATTGGGAGGTGGGAATTGATGCTGGTGAATGTTTTGATTGGGGACGTTATTTTGGAGAGGTGGTTGGTAACGATCTTCTCGCTGTCCTAGAGGAGGTTGGTTACCACTACGCTGTGTTGTCGGGGGTGCTGCGGGCGGAGCACCGGCCTGTGACGGATTTGGAAATCCTTGACCGCCCTGAGTCGTCGGCGGTCCTCGTTAACCATCTTCTTGAGACGTTGGAACTGACCCATGGCCGGCCTGTGACGTTGGCGGTCCTTGTGGTTCGACTCCTCGAGACGTTGGAGCTGATGCATGTCCGGCCTGTGTCGTTGGCGGATCTCGTTGATCATCTCTTTGATGATCAAAGTCGGTGGTACGTGACCGACCTGTGTCGTTGGCGGTCCTTGATACCCCACGTGCGCCATCGATGGCGGTGGATAGCTCATTCGCGACTGTTGATAACCGACGAATGGTCTATGTGACATTCGTTGATAATTGAATTGCGATTGCGTTTTTCCCCAGGGGGGATATTGCCTATTGTTTCTCGTCTGGTCAGGTCTCTGTGTAAATAAATTTTGGGGTACATACGTTGATTGTGTGCGTTGTGGCAACTGATGCTCGTGGCCTCCAGCCCACGTGACTCGCGTTCTCGCGTGGATGTAGGGGATTGCAGATCGTTCCCTCAATGTCGTGCCCGCTATGATCTGGCTACCGTTCAAGGTCATTAGGGGGTCACTGTCGTTTCTTAGATGATATCCTCCATTCCCATTACGTCCTGCATTCCATGAGTGTTGTCCCGTCGTCGTGGTATTTTCAGTGGAGTCTTATGGGCTGAGCCCGTTAGCCATTTCCTGTGCCAGCGCCTGTTGTTCTCGCATAAAATCGTCGAAGGATTGCTCACTGCCGAATCCTCCAGCAGCCATTTTCGTCCCTCCAAGCGTACCTCAATCCAAGCGTGGTCACTTCCATACCCTTAATTATATTTACACAACTTAGTTATCAATCGTTCAGTCGTTTCACTTGTGGCGTATTTTTGGATTGTTATCCCACTTCTGATATTTTAGCATAAACTATGTTTTTTACCTTAATTATCCCGTTGGAATTAACATGGGTAATGGAAGTGGACCGGGCGGGGTCGTTGAGGCACTTGAATAAACACACTTTTGGATAAATCCTAATGAACTTTAATTATATAGAAACTGAATAATTGTTACAAAAACTGTCATTCGTACTCGAATCCCTTAAACGTGGATTCTACCACTCAATGCAATAATAAACGTTTTGATTGTCCGATAACTCAGCCAAGCACCGAGGCATGTTTACGTACACCTCGACGGATGACCACACAATCCATTCTCTTCTGGACACTCGGCCCGTGCCGGTGTTATCTCTCGGTACGTACTAATTCGGTGCTATTCGGGTCACGTGCCCGTGTTCGCACCGCGAGGTAAATAGCCCTAACAAAAACCTATCGCTAATAACTTCATTAAAATTATCATCCTCCTCATCCTCTAAAAAATGATTAGTAGAAGACTATTGTTTAACTTGACATACTCGAGATAAATGTCCTGTTTTCTTGCAGTTACTACATTTAAAAGATTTATACCTGCATTTAGAAAAATTATGACGTGGTTTACCACAGTAATTACAAAGAGGCTCAGTTGTGTTGTCGTTCTTTGGATTTTTCGAATTCTTCTCCTTTGGGTTGTTATTGTTGTTATTTTGACCCTTCCTGTTGATGTCCCGTCGATAATTAGTTTGGAGTCGATGGATTGACTCTGCGGGTTTCCCTGATGTACCTCGGCTTAACGTGGCTTCCTTGTTTTTCGCCTCTTCCACGATGTCCTTGAGAGACATAGCTGTGTCTTGCTCACACATTTTATCAAGTATTGGCCCTCTCACTAGACCAACAACAAATTTGTCTTTAATTTTATCGTCAAGGTTTGCGCCAAATTTACAATGGATTGCTTTATTTTTTATTCTAGCAAACCATTCACTTATAGATTCACCGTCCTTTTGAATTAAACTATAAAATTCAACTCTTTCTTTAAATGCTGAGATGTTTGGAGCAAATTGTCCTTTTAAAATTTCACAGAGTTGTGTAAAAGTTTTGGTCTTTGGTGCTACTGGATCACAAAGGTCACGTAAAATTCTGTGTGCCTCTGCTCCTAATTTAGTAATTAACACGGCGACCCATCGAGACTCTGGAATATTATTCGCAACAAAAAACTGGTCGAGACGCTCTGCATACAGGTCTCAGTCTTCACCCACTTGAAAATCCGCCAAAGAGGAAATAATTGTGTTGGATTCCGACATTATGGAAAGAATATTCCTATTAACTGTATTTTCAATCTCGAAACTTTGTGTTTCGTCGTTAAATTGTCCTTTGGATGTAAACGAACCACTTTGTTTTAATACCCCTTGTACCTGAAAATCGATTCTTCGCTCGTTCAATTGTCTCTCTACACTTTCCAAATTGATCTTATATTCGACGAGTTCAATACGCCAAGCGTCCAATCTTTCTCTCAACTGGTTTAAACTCAACTCTTCATGGGCTAATTTACTTCTCTCAACGTCAATAATTGTCTTTTTTTTGTTGCAAACACTTTTCACTTTCAGCTAATTCGTCCCTTTTCTTATACAAATTATTTCTTAATAGGCTGAATTCCTTTAGTTCTCTTTCAAACTCATTCTTTGTATATTCAATAGTTCACGTAGCGTTAAGCGCTTTTTCTTTTCACTCGACAAATTAATTTCAGATGACGCACGTTTCATGTTTTTAATAAAAATAAATAATGTTAATCACGCGTTCAAATAAACTTTTTTCACTCGTCGCCTTTGTGATGTAGTGAGAGGGTGAATAAATGAATAGAGATAGACGTAGCGTCACTCAATTTAATATGAATCAGTCGAGGGGTAATTGGGGGGACTGGAGGTCTATACATTTTGAAATCCTGGATAACCATTCGTTATAGCTTACGCTCAATCGTGCCATCTATACTATATTACACCCTCACTCTAGCACGTCAGATTACCTCCAAGAATACGGAGAGAAAAGGAAGAATGCAAATGGAAATGAACACAATATTTCTCTCTTATTATTGAATTAGCAGACATGTATAAAAGTATGGATATTTGTATCAGGAATGTTTATAACATTATTTGAAAAGTGCTAATTATAAGTAAAATACAAATATGACGAACAATCATTCTTTAAATATTTTCAATGTCCTTTATTAGAAATTGAACCTAGAATTCAATTTTATTTTTGGTGTTCTGTAGACTCAGATAAAATAGAAAATTTCGAATTACGTAGGCTCTTCTTAAGTTACATCAAGTGCCCCGTGATGTAGAATGATATTTGACTCAGGATACTCTTGAAATGGCTGTCCATCCATTGTCCTACTATTGGACTTACTCCTCCTATCGAAAACATGGTTATTATCAGCGAGGATCCCCCCAGCAAGTTCGAGGGTCTCTCTTCACAGAATTTCGGGGAGGGCCTGTTTCTGGTGGTCCATCAACTCCACCAGGACCTCCTCAGATGTCTCCATCTTCAGTTGAGCACTGGGCTTGGCCTTGATCTCATCATAAAGCTTATTAATCGTTTGTTTCGTGGCCTTAGACTCCAGCTTTATTACTTCCGCCGCTGGCTCGCTGTGGCCGGATGTGAGGAGGAAGGCTCTGAGGTGGTTCTCATCCTGGACCTAAGAGGCACCAGGTACAGCTGAATTTCCTGGCGATGGCTCTGATGAAGTTTCAACTTTCGACTTGACTATTTTCTCCTTTTTAGGTTCCACTAATTTGGGAACCGAGTGCTTCGAATGTCCATCATCCACACTCTGGCTATCAAAATCATGTGATATGTGCGACGAGGTAAGGTTGGAGCACGTCTCCACTGAGGATTCATACCCATCAGAGTTTGTATCCTCCCTCGATCAGCCCCCAAAAATGCATTGATCGTGGTGATGAGACTTCTGGAAGACTCCTTGGTACCACTGAAGAATACTTGCCGAGTTGCAAGATGTGGGTGAGCCCTTAAGTCTCTTCCTCCTTCAAAATAACAGGAGGCTATGCTTGAGAAGGACTTGAAACCTCATTTCCTGGGGTTTCTGTGTCTGAATCGTCGTGTTCGATGGTTCCAACAGGTGGTGGGAGGGTAGAGGTACCCTCTCGGTTGCTTTTGACTCGAGAGGAGGTTGTTGAGAGGTTTTTCCATCCTCTGGGGGTTCTAGAGGTGACAGAAATGCGCGTAGCTATACCTTCCAACTGGCACACGGTAGACGTGGGTTCGAAACCCAGTCAATTGTTTTTTTTCCTCTTTCGGAATCCTTCATTAGTTATTATTTACAGCAACTCAATATCATTTTTATTCCCCGAGATGGATTGAGCATGCCAATTTTGTCATCGGATTTTTCATTATATGAACCTTCCGGATCAAAAATAAGGGTTGAGCGATCGTGAGGATTGAACCAGATAAAATCAGAAAAATCAAACTCTACTCATCACGTTAACGCGAAATAAGAATCAAGTTCTCAAAACAAACAAGAATCACTGAACGATGTAAAATTCTAGGCTAAGTTGCTCATCATGTCTTCACTAAAAGTCATAAAGAATCGTATAAAATCCGTGGAGAACACGAGAAAAATCTCAAGAACAATGAGATTAGTGTCAGCGGCGAAGTATGCAAAAGCAGAACGTGAACTATTAAGTGCGAGGCCTTTTAGCACTAGTCCCCAGATTTTTTTTGAGACTACAGGACTCACTTCAGACCCTAAACCAGACCCCAGGTTAGTCCTAGCCGTGAGTGGAGACCGAGGGCTCTGTGGAGCTATTCATTCAGGCATTGCAAAAGCTGTTCACATGTCAATCGAATCCTTAAAGGCGGATACGAGTTCTCCGACCAAGTTAATTTGTATTGGAGAGAAATCCAGGGTAATTTTATCCCAAGTTTATGCCAAAAAGATCCTCTGGATTGCCTCGGAAATCGGGAAGAAACCGTCAACATTCATTGATGCAAGTCAAATAGCCGAGAGGATTCTGGAATCGATGGAGGATTACAAATTCCCACAGATACAAGTTTACTATAACAAGTTAATTGATTTGAACGATTGAATAATTTGTGATAATAAAAATATCTTGGAGATAGATCGGCTAATTAGAAATAACCCGCCTGAACTGGCGTTCGGTGCCCACCCGAGTCCACTGGTTCGGTGAGCAACGCGCCGTCCGTGTTACGGTTAGCGCGGTGTTGCCACATTGGAGCCGTATACGTCAATAAAAATCTACACTGCACACATTTTTCTCGAATTAAACACCATTTATGCTCTCAAAAAAAAATTCGCGCTTTTTATGAGACGCCAAACACGGCACGTGATAGAGATGTTGACGTTCCTAGTATATCTGAACTGAAACGAACGACGTGACAACAGCGCGGTTAAAAACCGACTACACGAGTCCATTGGCTCCGGGCGGCGAGGCGCCGCTTTTCCGTACGTCTCACTAAATTATTATTTTTCATGGTATTCATGGGGTTTTCAAGAGATAGGAATGTTACCAGTCCATTCTAGAGGGTTTGAACTAGGCATCGTAATTTTTACAAATTTGTTCATACATAATTTTGCATGCAACCAGGAAAAATCGAGAAAAGGCGGCGCTTTGCTCATTGAACCAGTTCAGGAGAGATAAATGTGAAAAGACCTCTTTTTTGTGACGAATTTGATGAGCTGAAATTTATTAATTTTTTTACATTTGTGTCTAAAACCATTGTTTTCGAAGATATTTGAAAAATTATCGAAGGATTCTTGAATTCATTTCTCGAATCTTTCTTATAAAATTTTATCTTTATAAATTTAAGAGTATTTACCAAGATCCTTATTCTGTAGATCTTGTATTATACATATGTTTCAAAAAAGGGATCTTGACATTTTTCTCCAAACCTTGAATTTTCCGAAAAAAAATTTGTAAACTCCCTAGTTCTCTACAACTCAAAAACCCTATCTAAAATTTGCCATCAATCCTCAAAAGTGTTCCACGCGCCGCAATTATAATATAATTCTGCCATTTCTCTTGAATCAGAGTTATCAGCGCAAGTGCTTACACCGTGTCCACTTTGAACCTCTTCGACCGTTCTGCAATAATATCCGCCCCGAAATTTGCTCTCTACGATGCTCTAGACGACAACATTATGGACTGTTGGATCGAATTCGCAATCGTAACGATGATTTACTTAGTCCTAAAGGAGGGATCATTGGCTGAACACGCAGCACGCATGACAGCCATGGAAAATGCAACTAAAAATGCATCCGAAATGATAAAACGACTAGAGTTGGAGTACAATAGGACGAGGCAGGCTGTTATCACTGAAGAACTCATTGAAATTATTTCCGGCGCCAGTGCCATTCAATAAATTTATTAAAATAATTATCCTCACATATGAAAGGATAGTACATGGCCCTCAATCAATAGTCATTTTAGCTAATTTAATCAATTCATTGATAAATCAATTAATTAATCATTAGTCGATTTCGTTATTGAACAAACATTAAATTGTCAATTTGTCGAAAAAAATAGAAAATTCTGTCTCATCTTTGGAGATTATTCTTTTGTTCAGGAGGAACAGATTTTCATTAGGTAATTGATGACAACTGATCAATAATGATCGCTCGAGACTTTGTTACTTTTATGATAGCATTATAAGACACGTGTATTTCTTAAAGCTCTCGCATAATGATGTACAAATTGCTAATTGAAATTGATTTTTTTCTTCAGCGAATTATTGGGATTATCATTCAATTTTCCATTAGTTTTTTTTTTGGCTTAATATCTTCTTTTATATTTCTAGAAATTATTTACAGTAATCAATGCAGTTTAGGCACGAATAATCCCGCTGCTTACATAGATATTTGGCCTTTTTTTTCTTCATTCGTTCAAGATGGGAGATTAGACACTATTTGAAAACATCTGAAAGATGCCAAACGGTGAATGGAGTTGTACTGAGGTGTGAAGTGGTAAAATATTGAAAATTTTTAAGATTCTGGTGGGAGATCCCAACATATTGGGTGGGATTATGGGGTAATGTCAGCGAATTTTGTCCTTCCAGTTTAGTAATGAGTAATTTTAGGTGAAAGGGAATTGTGCCATAGGAAATGTCATAATCTACCGATGTTTTCCAGGCAAGTATCCCTAAATTCATTCATTACCGACAGAAAATATAGACATATAACTTCACATATACCTTACGCAATTGAATTTCACTACTCAAGTTTCACCACTTCACGATACAATTGTAACTTTTTAAAGACTGTTAGTCAGTTATTCTCATTATTTCATATTTTCTCATCCTCCATTCACGCATTCGCTATGTCCATGCCTGTGTAACTCAAGCGAGATGAGAAAAATATCGACTTCTTTGAACAAGCGATACAATTTTATATCTCATCAAATACACAAAAGATTCAGCTAGTAAGTCAGACACTCTCAACATTTAGAAGAAACAAAGGAGTGAATGAAATGAAACAAAAACATAATTAACAGCTGGTGATTAACCACCCTGCAAGGAACACTCACCCCCTAAAATCCATCACCTAATTAATTTTTCTATTTTTTTTTTCTATAAATGAACCAAAAACACGCAGATGACCAATTTAGTGGTTCGTTTTGTTATTTTGTGTCATGAGAACATTTCTTTTTCAATAGTTTCTTCCTTTTTATTAAATCGTTTTTTTCTTCCATTCTGTCGAAATATATCGGTCAAACCCCACGCGATATGCAAGAATTAGACCCCTCTGTCGACGACGAAAAAATGGCCAGAGATGACCAGTCTTTCTACTTATTTAAATTATCTTATTTCCTTAATGAATTTTAATTACTCCGGATAACGATTTCACCATTCAGCGTCACCATTGGCTTTTTGGAAAACATAATCCTTGCCACTCAGACTCATGATTCCATCTTTGAGGTAGAATTTCCATTTATTTCTACTCCTCGTTATCTAAAAACAAAATTTATGTTTAAAAAATTGCAATATACGCGGACATTATTTTGCAAATCCTCTCAGGATCTACTGAGAGAAAGATGTGAAAGGAATTTTTGTCGCGATTTTTGTTTTTCATTTTTGCAACCGTTCCCTTTGCCGTTAGGCATAGTATACGATTTGATGAAAGAAAAAAGGTGGAAAAAATCATTTATTGCTCGTTTACGAGTAACTTTGAACCTTTAGTTAAGAGGAAATATAAACAATTTTTAATTAGGTACCCTGGGTCACGTTTTTGAAAGATTTAAATAATTTATTGATGTAAATATGGACCAAAAAATCTCGATATGTTGGATATATTGGAAAGTAAGGCAATACAATTTTTTAGTAAATTTTCCACTCACCAATTTTTTGTGGGAAATGAAAAAATCGAAAAATGGCGAGGACTTCTTTATTCTGCGACCACTTAATGGTCGAGGAACTATTGGAAAAACATCATCAGTGGTAAAAAATAATGAGAGCATTTTTTCTCACTGATCGCAGTTCATTATTTCGTGAGAAATCTCAAGAGACCCTGTTGTAGATAATTTCGTACAAAAAAAAGCTCTCCTCACTTCCCCAATGTTTTGTTATTACTGACCTTGTCATATTGACACACCACTACATTATCCGTGTCGAACAGATCTGTGGGATCGTCATCCGTGACATCGTCCTCTGAATTCAGTGGCTCCTATGAAAATATGGAGAGAATACAGTATATTTGGATAAGGTGGAATAGGCTTTGGCCAGTAGTCCCGTCGCACGAGTCAAACAACACGTTTCCACGTGTAAACCAAAGTTTTGAACACGCGGAGCGTGTGTAGAATGTTACTTAATACATAGCGTGATTGCAAAAATGATTGATTGTTGAATTTAAAAGGTAAAAATTAACAGGTAAATCGCAGAAAATATAGGGAATTTGATTACCTCTTCACGTGCACCAGCATCATCATCTTCCTCCGCGTCCTTGTCGTCATCCAAGTCGTCATCGTCGTCATTGTCATCCTCCTCATCCTCATCGTCATCGTCCGACGTATCTACATGAGGTCCATCCAACTGAGCAATATTTCCCTGAGCCTAGAATATCATTGATCCATGTCATATTAGAATATTCACTGCATAATAATCATCGTCAAGACTTAATTTGTGTTAAAGAAAATAGAAGCTATGCTTTTATAACTTAGAAAATCGGAAAACACCCTCTGCGTGTGTAAATGATGTTTTTAAGAGGGCACGAGGGTAAAAAAAAAACTATCGAAATGCGGGCAAATCTGAGCTCCATAAATTCTCGTCGTTTGGTGAATTCCGAGGCTCAAAAGTGGTCACCGCCAAATCCTTGGCACCACGAAAGTGTCATGGAACAAGTTGAGGGTGGTGTGAGAAGGATAAATATTTTTAATAAATGATTAAAAATACGAGGTGGTTGATAGGTCTGGTCGTCGCCATGATGCTTGGATCCCCCTCCCTGGACCGCAAGTTACTTCCAAGATGGCGGCGCTCATAGCTGTCAGCGACCTCGTACTTTTAAACATTAAAAAAATATATTTTCATCACGCTGTGCGAAAAAGTAACTTCGCTTCGCGTGCCTGAAACGTCCCTTTTCCACACATTGTGATGAAAAATACTTTTCATCACGCTGTGACGAAAAGTGAACTTTTCGGCACGCTCCGCGTGCCTAAAAGTCCGATTTCCGCCACATTGTGATGAAAAATATTGTGAAAAAATATTGATTGTGATGAAAAATATTGAAAAATATTGTAACCCCTGAAAAGATGCTTTTTTAGCTCGTGGGATTATATCACGAGCCGAAGGCGAAACCTCCCACTCGCCAAAAAACACTTTTCCGCACTCGTAACGAAATATACTATTTCGTGTCCCTCGACACGAAAATTAATATACACACCTCACCATGGAAAACATCACCCTCCCTCACGTGCTTGCCATCCTCGCCTTCGGCTCGGAAGGAAATCTTGCACGTGGGGGACGGTGATCTGTTTTCCAAGGCTCGGGCATGTAATGTACTATTTTTTTCAATACATTTTTCAAATTCTTGCATGTATTGAAAATGGACAACACTGCTTTTGCAACGACTACCTGTGAAGTTAATTACACATGAAAATAATTGTTTCCAATAAAATATAGGAATTTTTGTGTAGAGACTCCATGGTTCCGATGTCGAGCATTGAATTCTGCATAAACTTACTCAACTTTGAATTGACATGAAAAATTAACAAAAATATTTAGTCAAAATTCTTGTAGAATTTGATTACGATATTACGAAAATTATTATTTAATTTTCTCCAATTCGTTCGCAAGTTCTGCGTGATCAGCGGAGTGAGTCGTAACCAATTGAAAGGATCAATTAATTCTGTTACATTTTGGAATTTCAGTGCTGACTACAATTCTCCTTTTTGCTTCGGAATGGAAGCTTTGCCATCCCTCAAATTCAAGTTTCCAATATCTTGTATTAGGGTAACTAAGTATGTATGTGGTTTTTTGTCTTCATTTGTTTTCTCGAAATTTTCTTATAATGGATCAATTGAATTTCATGATTTTTTTCATGAATATAGAGTTTAATAAGCTCTATTCAATGACACCAATTGAAATTTAGTTTTGTTTCCGAATGGAAGCGATTTTTACGATCTTCTAAATTTGCTTGGAAGTGATATAGAATGTTATGAAATGTCAAGATATGATGTTTTTAGAAAATTTGTGTGTGTGTGTTCGGATTTTTCGAAATTGTTTTCTAAATCTTCGCAAAACAAGCAGCCCGACAGAAGCCACTTAACAGATTATATATGACTGCTACTCTTCACGTTTTTTTTTTCCTCCCATTTTCATTTCTACCAATTTCATTGGGAGTAGAAAATATTAAGGCCAATTCCACTCATATTTCATGACAAAAAATGAATTTTTTATTCCATAAATTATGTCATTGTGTAAATGTCATCGTGGGAAAATTGAATAGTACGAAAGAGGGACACTGGAGAAGAATAATCTTAGAAATAACAAATAACTTACCATTCAAACAAATGAAAATAACGATATAAATAATAATGGAAATCGGTGTAGAAAAACATATAGAAAATTTTCCAAGGATTTTCAGGGGCATTTATCATAGAATCATTGGGACAGATCCATTTGGAAGCTTATTACCAATGAAATTAGTAGAGAGAGGAAGAATCAAAAAGACTAATAACAAATAAAATAACGGTCTGTTGCTTCTGTCGAATAGGCTTGCAAACCTAATTGTTTCATACAGATTCAAAAAAATTGATATTTTTTCAAAAATCCATTTTTCAACGATGACTCAAAAAAATTTCATCAAAATGGAATTAGTGATGGATCAAAAAATTGATAACAATACCCTCTTGATCCTATCAGAATATAACGGTCTTCTTAATCAAGTTGAAAAATGATGCGAACAGCGTCATTGCTTATCAAGTTACATAATACCGTCATGAGCTTTTTATATAAAAATCTCTATCTTTATTAAACTCAGGTACCAATCTGTTGTATTGAATACTTATTCATATTGATTTATGGACCCGACTAACTTCTGACAAAACCTAGGTTAAACTCTGTCTAAGTGCTGAATTAACCCATGATTGAATCCCGGATATACACTGATTAAACTTGGACTGACAACGAATTCGAGTCTTGAGAGTGTCTGAATGTAGAATTATTTGAAAGAACGGAATAATGTGCCAAATTTTGATGACATTTCAATGAATGATTGTACTACGACATGAAAAAATAGACGAAGAGAATAGTGAAATAAGAATTAAAACAAGGAGAACCCATTCGGAAGTAAATTGCTAATTTATTAGCAACAATAACTATACTCATTTATAAAAGGATGTAATTGTCTACTTATTTTCATAAATTAATCCTAAAATGACTGAAATAATCTAGTATTCACCAAAAGTTCAAAATCAACCCTTCAAACCGAATCAAAAACTCAAACCCACCTGATTCTGGGTAGGCAATTGCACATTAGTTGTTCCTTGAATAACCTGCAATGGTTGATTAATATCCATAGGGGCAAGAGCTGCCTGACCTTGAAGAGTCTTATCGACATGTTGCTGCAGCAATCGCGAAGCCACATCTGTAGGAAAGCCCATGGCCGCAGTGATAACGGGCCCAGTGAGGATTGTATGCAACTGATTACCCTGAATAGCTGAAGCTGGCACCTGAATTGTCAGAATTTTGGGTTTGCCATCTCCAGTCGCTGGGTTGCCAGGCAGAGTTATCTGAATGGGAACTGGACGATCGAACAACGCAGCTGGTGCTGCTATCACCTGTTGGGCTGGTGGGGTCTGTTGAACATTTTGATGCTGTGGTACAGCTGCACGAATTGGCTGGGGAACTGGTGCTTGCTGATGCTGTTGATTCTGCTGTTGTGATTGTGCTTGGTTTGCTGCTGCTGATGTTTGTTGTTGCGCGAAGTGATTACCAATATTTGCAGCTGGACAATCAATTGAAATGATTGAGCATGAAAGTAGTAAAATGAATAAGGAAATCAGGTTATGCTCAGTAAAAAGTATATATTCCTCTTTTCGGTTGTCATCGAGAGGAGAACAGGACAACTTATCTTGACTTTAAAACAGTTGAATTTCTGCTGAATATCTTTCAAACTAAGGGAGATAGCGAAATTTGCGTAAGGAAAGTTGCCCTTTCTAGTAGATCTCTCTCTCAACAACGAAGGTCTCTACCAAAATTTTTCAATGTTTCCCACAATTTTGGTGAATCAACTTGCTAAATAAATTTCAATCGCTTTGAGACATCTCGTATAATAGTATGGGCGGTCACGTAAGAGGCTGTGTTAATTTTTGATAATTATCAAATCAAGATATTTTTTTAACTAAATTCGAGAACGCATCGTAAGACATCTATGGAAGTCTCATCAGCATTCAGCGTTATCCAGGGATGACGATAGGGACGCAGCGGTTTTGAACCCCAAAGAGCCTAAAAAATTTTGACTATCTCTCTTAGATTCTGTGATATTCTCTAGGAACTGATTTGTTGCAGAGTGGGAGTGAATTGTCCTTAGCTGTTTCGCAATCTCACTACTAGATTCTTTTCAATGCAAATTATTTTGGAGGGTTTAATGAGTTATTCTAACACCTTTACTAGCAGTTGTATTTTTAGGTGTAGGCATCTGAGGTGGTTGTGGTTCAGGAGGTTCTGGATTAACCTCCACAGCTTTTGTTTGCATCAACTTCTGCTCCCATACTTGCTTGAGTTCTAAAAGCACTTGCTCATCAACTCCCTCGTCTAAAAATGAATCTCTGACTCCCGCAATGACATCCTCTATCACAGTGCTGTAGAGTTTCAACTGAAAAAGTAAATTAATTCGTGTTGAGTTGATATGCTTTGTACTGAAATAATAAATGGAACTCCGAAAATACCATAAATGTTATTTTGAAAATATGTCTGAAGTAAGTGGGCTGAGAAAAAAATATCAAACAACCTTCTCGTAGTTTGCAAAATTCTCTAAAAAAGAAACAAAGTTTGTTGACACTCCCTGGAAATAATCATTCAGGTACCGAAGAAATTCAACCATTGACAAATGCTGAAATAATTCGTGTAAAGAAGAAAATATTCCAATTGAGTCATGACTTCGTTAGTGAGTGACTCTAGGGGAAAATATCAGGGTCCATATTTGCTAGAAATGTTGTCCTCTATGGAAACTGTCTTCTAACAATTTTTCATCAAATGATTCATTACCAAGATAATCTAACAATTAACGCATGCTGAAATAATTTCAGTCAAAAATTGAATATTTATTTTTTGTTCATTTTTTTTGTCTACATAAAATTTGGTCCATGTCAAAGAAACTTCCGTTAAAAAAACTTCGTCAAAAAAACTTGGTTCATAAAACTTGCTCACAACAACTTAGTAACAAATAAAACTTAAAGAAAAATTATCAAACAACCTGAACTTCAAAAAACTTGAAAAAAAACTTTTGAACTTTTAACGTATAACGAAAATTGAGAAAGGAAATTTGGAAAAAAGTCCACACACATGCATACCTACATACATACGTACATACATATAGGCACCTTCTAAAAATCGCATATTCGGACTTTTTGGACCACATTTAGTTATCCTAAAAATATGGAAAAGTAAATTTAAACGATTACGATTGTTTGGTTTCTTTCCCAAGGAATCAAGTAACACTCTGAATTTCTAAACACAAAGACAGATTTTACCTATATTCTTACAAAGTTTTATTGCCGGAAGTTCAATTTAACAAAAGTTCAATTAACCAAAATTTCACTTTCCCAAGTTGAATTTAACCAGGTTTTTTGAACGAAGTTTTTTACACGTGCTCCGCATAAAATTATTGAGACATCTTCATTTAAAATAATCCTTCATCGAGATGCTCCAACTTTTACCGAATACCAAGATCATTAAAATCAAACCAAAAATAAACGACCAATACTAGAAAAAGAAACGTCAAGAGATGTTTTCTTTACTGCACAGAAACAAACCCTTCTGACATTTATCCTCTGAACCCACTCGTTCTCCAACATTGTCCCGAACGAATACCAAAATTCGAACGTTGTGGACTTTCACCCCGACCTTCACTTGACTCCTTTGCAAATCGAGGTCTCGCTCAAACAATAATGAACCAACAATTACATCACTTTGTACAAATTTATAATTTCTTAACAGTTTCTCCATCATCCCAATTGGGCCACTTACACCGGGACTTCTAGTCACGCCAATTACGGCTAAGTTTATTTCCATTTCGGGCCAAGTCTCAGTAAAAACGTGGAGTTCAGTTCAACTTTCCGTTTCCATCGCGACTTGGGCCGGAGTACACATAAACTTAGCCGTTAAAGTCTCAGTGTAAATGGCCCCAACGAGAACAACCCTTGGGACTAAATGTCCGCATTCTAATAAAGGAAAGTTGACGAATGAAGAATTCTCTTCAATCATCACCTGTTCAAAAAATATCAGGTATAACAAACCCAAACTGTACAACAACAAATAAATCCACTAATCATTTAGATTTATTCTCACATGCGAATCATAATCTTAAGGATAAATATAGAAGGACAATTAAATTAAGATAAAGGAATTCAGTGACACGAGATAAATCATCTCAACACACAAAGAAATAATCAACAAAGTCTCTATCGTTAATCCCAGAAGGTAGATTACACTTAATTTTTGTATCTCCAGATTTTTATACACAGATTTTAACCATGATTGGGTATCGGCATCGAGTGTCACAGTTTTTTTCAATATAATATAAATATACGTCGAAAAATCGTAGATTTAACGTTCGGCGGAGGGGGGAAATGACCTGCATGAAATACATTAGTTATTATTTTCATGGATATACTCACCACACTTGTTTGGCTAAGGGCCATTGCCGGATAATTAGTATTGTCAATCACTCGTGAGAAGAACAATACCAATTAATCACGTACAATGGATGTTAGCCCCACGTAAACCGAACTACTGCTGCGTCGCTCCTGGTCTTTTATACTTTCTCAAACAGCTCCCATTCCACTGCTGGCACCGAACACACACGAAATCGGGTCAGAGCAGAGATTATAGGGGAGATGAGCAGGGCCAATGTAAAGTGTTCAACAGCAAAATTCGTGGCGATGGCGCATTGACTACGATGGAGCGTACGGAACTGTTGGTATGGTAGGGCCAGAGTATAAATTTGTCGATAACCGGAAAGGGGTTCTCAATACGGTAGCTCCTCACATTTTGTAATAATTGTCAGGAATGTAAAATCGAACATATTATAATCAATAGTATAATGAATGCAGAATCTAATGATCTAAAAGTCTTTTCCTTTTTCTCGACATATTTACTATTGACACGTAGGTCAAAAAATTCATAGAAAATCCCAGCGCTGTCGCTGGAAAAATCTATAGTTTTCCAGTGATTCTATTGAATAATTGTGCAGATTTTGTTTTTTTTTTACTATAGTAATGTTCGATTATATCTATTTATTCCCCCCCTGAGTGAGAAAGGAATATGTATCGCTCTCGCTCCCACTCATTGTCGTCTCCGTCGCGTTGGCACGTGCCCGTCCTCCGCCAAACTTAACGAGTGCGAGTGAGAAAGAAAATGAAGAAGAAGGAGAGAGAAAACATTCCAACTCGTTTGAAAGGTTGGAACGTTTTCGTTGTTCTCCAGCGATCTTGACAATGGGATTAATTCAATAATAATACATTAATGAATAAGATTTTTCGCAGATTATTGCGAGATTTAGATGAATGGTTTGCCTCCTTCAGTGACCATAAAAAATTGGCTCCAATCGACAATATCTCCCGATGGAATGGAACGATGTGAATAAATCAAATATCAATTTGAATCTTTAAAAAATTAATCGAGTGTGAAAAAAAATCCGGGAATTCCACTCTGACATTTCTCTATTGTCTGTATTTACCGAGAAAAAAAAACGTTGTTCCTACCCACTAAACAACATGTCGACGATTTGCCGGAGAATTGTAGGCATAGCATCCGAAATTTTAGTGCAAAATTGTCGACAAAATTGCGGTAAAATTTTCCGCAACAGAGTTATCATAAAAATATCAAACATCCGGGTTATCAGCGAAGTTATCCCTAATCTTGTCGTCATTCAATGGCAAAATGCATCGTCAATTTTCCTTACACAATTCACCCGCAATTTATCAACAAATTTATCGGAAAGATTCTTGACAATTTGCCGTTAAAAATATCCGCGAAATTGCAGATAGACTTTCCTGGAATATTGTCGTTAATTTTATCGTCAAAATTACCGATAAAATTTTTCGGCAAATTGCCGTCATATTTATCGTCAAAATTGCCGATAAAATTTTCCGGAAATTTGTCGTTATTTGATAGTCATTTTGGTTTTTAGTGATACATTGGAAGAAGATTAAATTTTAATCAGGGGTGGGGCTGGTCTACGCAATATTGTTGTTCACTCGCAACCTCACTCCCGAATTTGACTGTGGGAGCGAATTATTGAGGTTCACAACAAAAACTTCCCAGTTTTCATTCCCAATATGTAATTTTCAAAAAAAAATTAAAAAAGGACGATTTTGTTTTTTTCAAGTTTTTTCGGAAAAACTCAAAAACCACTGGACCAATATAAGCCAAAATCTAATCCGGTCTAAGTTACATGAAGACGCATAGATTAAAAAACAAGAGTCAAATCGGACCATTCATTCATGAGAAATCGTTGACCATAATTTTGACGACATACATACAGTATAAAACACACACACACACATATTTCATCAATCAAATTTGTTTGTTGCCGTGTGGTCTATATCAGTGATGGAAATCAATCACACTCTCTCAGCATCGTCTTAATGGACATTGTGACCTTCCGGAATGGCCTCTGCACCAAGATTAACTGAATTTTAGAATTTTGAATCTTAGTTGATTTTTCGATAGAGAATTTTTTTCAATTTGTTACGTAGTAATCAATATCAATACTTCAATATGAAGTAGGATACCCGTCAAATATTCTAACGTAGTTTGAACTGGTATTAATCCTAAGAGTGATATTAGCCTATATCGACTTCTAGTCTTCTGAAATCGATTCAGGAGGTCATTTTGCGTCTAGAATGGTGCAGAAAATGGGGCGGGTGGGAACATGTTTTCCGCATCTTCCCGGCCTTAATAAGCCTCCAATCGCAATTCTGACGTTGTTTCATGATCACACTTTTTTTAAAATTTTCTTACCAACTATCCGAGACTTACAGAAGACTTCGAGTCTTCTGAAATCGATTCAGGAGGTCATTTTGCGTCTAGAATGGTGCAGAAAATGGGGCGGGTGGGAACATGTTTTCCGCATCTTCCCGGCCTTAATAAGCCTCCAATCGCAATTCTGACGTTGTTTCATGATCACACTTTTTTTAAAATTTTCTTACCAACTATCCGAGACTTACAGAAGACTTCGAGTCTTCTGAAATCGATTCAGGAGGTCATTTTGCGTCTAGAATGGTGCAGAAAATGGGGCGGGTGGGAACATGTTTTCCGCATCTTCCCGGCCTTAATAAGCCTCCAATCGCAATTCTGACGTTGTTTCATGATCACACTTTTTTTAAAATTTTCTTACCAACTATCCGAGACTTACAGAAGACTTCGAGTCTTCTGAAATCGATTCAGGAGGTCATTTTGAGCCAAGGAAGATCCAGAAAATGGGACTGGTAGGGTAGGAACATGTTTTCCGCATTTTCCGGCCTTAATAAGCCTCTAATAGCAATTCTGACATTAATTCATCAACTCCCCAACAAAAATTTTCCCATTATAAAAAAATAACATTCTCGTAGTCATGGATATCATCGATTGATTCAGCAACCAATCGNCGTTTTCAAAGCAGCTGACACTGCCTTACCAAACTCGACTTCAGTAGTACCCCTCAGGTGATTGTGAGATGTGACAGCAGCCATACATGCTCGAAGAAACCTCGGAGCATGTTCTTTCAACATTAACTTGCCTTGTTCCCGACGTTTATTGGTGACATTCATGACAAAGTCATTAGTTGTCTCCAGAGTAGCTCGGAATATCTCAGCTACTGCCTTATTTATCTCCCTTCCACCTAACTGAGATAAAAAAGTTACGAGATGTCGATAATCTTCTTCGGTTGCATTTTCGAAAGCNGATGCAAAAATGAATATGAATATGAAAAACTGAAAAAAATGAAGAAAAATGATAATAATGGTGACTTTCTACATTTGTAAATTCTTCATAAATATTCGATATTGTAGAGACAATTACAAATGTCATAATCACTTTTGTCATGCAAAGAAGAAAGAAATATTGACATATCTTAATATTACATTTGGGATCAAGTATTTGTCTCAACTCTTAGGTTAGAAAACTTCAGTCAAATGTTAACATCACGTTTTATGAACCCTGTCAACTCCATACTTCAAACTTTTAACTAATTAGTTCAACCAATTCCATATAAACTTCAATCCAGTTGTGAAATTGTAACAATTTATCAAAATTTCATTTTTGTTTATTGTTGCATTTATTTCGACAACAAATTTCAGAAAAAAAAACAAAATACATTGTTCGTAGAAAATTGGTGCCCTCAAAAAAACTTTTCTTC